GGGTTAGGGGGTGGGCTTACAACCACCACCACCCCATAGACCCCTCATTAAAAATACTGTCATGGTACCACTGTTACTTATTTAAATCTATTTCTGAATCAGTATATATGTATAATTGTACATGTATGTTTAGAACAGTCATCTTAAAACTGACGCTATGTAAACTGAGTTGGTTATCCCCCCCCCCCCCCCCCCCACCTCACCACCTAAAACGGGACAGACTGTAAAAAATTGTGTAGAGCGACATTAATGTCACAGCTAGGCATACGCTGGGTAGTATAATGGGCCTAAAGTGACAGGGCAGTGGTGAATGAAGTTGAACCCCCCCCCCTCCTCCAACCCACCCCGAACAGATCTTTTAAGTACATTAGGGAAAACGCGTAATGAGGTACCAAAGTACTATGCCGCCAGAATCATAGCTGTTGAAACAGGTAAACTCTGTAAATATTTTTTTTGCAATTGCCAGTAAAGAGGCGTGAGATCAGCACCGTGATCTAACCCATACAGTAGTTAATTTAAAAAATGGAATATTAAACCGTAAGACTATTATTCAGAATGTTCCACATATAAGTTTAAGTTTTTTTTTTGGATTGCAAAGCTTGATTTTATACCAACTCTGATTTCAAAAACTTTCATTTTGCTGTAACATTTAAGCATTTATGATGACAATACATTTAATTCTGATTGTAGACAATATATTTTTGTAAAATCAAATAGTTTAATCTACTATATTACATACTAAAGTAATTATTGATCTGTTTTGACATTTACAATTAAATTTGTGGAAATAAACATATTTATATTAGATAGTGATTATTTCCCTATTTCGTTTGTCTTAATATTCTAGGAATCATTATGTCAAATTTTTTTTTACAAGGATTACAAAACAGATTATATATATATATATATATATATATATATATATATATATATATATATATATATATATATATATATATATATATAATGCTGGAAAAAATTCGACCCTCCATGAGACTATCCTGGCTACTAATGTCTCCAGACAACAATTTAAAAAAATCCCTTTTATTAAAGAAAGATAGAAGTTAAATAGCAAAATGAATAAATGAAATAGAAATCGCAAGTGACTATACATTCACGCCTACCTGGGGCCGCCCTTCATCCATTATAGACTCTAAAGACACCATGGAAAAAACGTGACCACAATTAAGAACTAAAAGCGTACAAGTTCATAAAATTACAAAACCCTAATTAGTTCCTGGGTCCGAGTATTTAAAGATGGAACTAAAATTGTCATAGTTAAAGATGGAACTAAAAATGTTAGTTAAAGATGGAACTATAAATGTCATAGTTAAAGATGGAACAAAATTTTTTATAGTTAAAGATGGAACTAAAATTGTTAGTTAAAGATGGAACTAAAATTGTTAGTTAAAGATGGAACTAAAATTGTTAGTTAAAGATGGAACTAAAATTGTTATAGTTAAAGATGGAACTAAAATTGTTAGTTAAAGATGGAACTAAAATTGTCAGTTAAAGATGGAACTAAAATTGTTATAGTTAAAGATGGAACTAAAAATGTTAGTTAAAGATGGAACTAAAATTGTTAGTTAAAGATGGAACTAAAATTGTTAGTTAAAGATGGAACTAAAATTGTTAGTTAAAGATGGAACTAAAAATGTTAGTTAAAGATGGAACTAAAATTGTTAGTTAAAGATGGAACTAAAATTGTTATAGTTAAAAATGGAACTAAAATTGTTAGTTAAAGATGGAACTAAAATTGTTAGTTAAAGATGGAACTAAAATTGTTAGTTAAAGATGGAACTAAAATTGTTATAGTTGGAACTAAAATTGTTATAGTTAAAGATGGAACTAAAGATGTTATAGCTAAAGATGGACCTTAAACATGTCATAGTTAAAAATGGACCTAAAAAATGTCATACTTATAATCTAAAAATAGACGGTTTTCATTTCGATTGCCACTGGCAGACGCAGATCATTTCAGAGCAATAATCAACAAGACGGAAATATAAGACATGACTTCAAATTGTCTAAGTCAAATAGTTGTTTTGACAAAATCAGTCATGAAGAACTTAATATCCATTGACTGATGATGCTTACATAAAGATCATGCTTACACAAAAATGATATCTACACAAATATGACGCTTACACAAAAATGATATTTACACAAATATGATGCTTACACAAAGATGATATTTACACAAATATGATGCTTACACAAAGATGTTGCCAAGTTAAAGTTTAGTTAGGAGAGTAGGCTGAAGTGGGTATAGAGGCGCACGTGTGTTAGATTAAGGTGCCCTAAAATGTGTAAAAGATCTCATAAGCGACCAAAGCTTTAATTAAGGAAAGCAAACTAGTTTTATTTTCTCATTTTCAGTGACTCCTAATTTTTGAAGTGGAGACGACTAAAAATATTTGCTTGAAAACATCAGTACTCGCGTTATCTGCCTTGTGAAAGCAGCCGTCCGTGACCATATTTAACAGATGACAGCAAGTAATTAATCTTGTTACCTCCCCTAAGTTTCAAACCGCTTAAAAACTTTATCTGCCTCCTAAAAGCGTTCAATAGATTGATCGGCTCTACGGTTGTAAACATTTCCGTGAACCACAGCTCACCAGACAGTTAGGATGATCGCGTCTAACTAGTTATCTACCCTTCTGTTATTGAATATAATAATCTATTGAGTGATTTAATTTTGTTATCTCCCCTAAGTTTCGAAACCGTTTAATCAATTTTTAATGACTAACTAAGCATTAAATTAAATTAATTGAAGTAAAAAAGTAGATAGACTTGTGTTTTCATCGAAATGGAACGTATCTTGAAAGTTTGAACTGAATCGCTGCATTAAAATTGGGTAAAAATTAAGTTACAAGACTTGCTACAAACCCATAAACAAACAAACAGACGTTGCAAACTAATTAAAAGCTTGTAACAAAAAGGTTCACAACAGATGTAAATCATTTTGTTGTTTGGTCGGATTTTGCCTCTCCCCCCCCCCCTTTCCGCATTGGGGGTCAGGTGGTGTTGTAGACCCCCCCCCCCCCCTTGCACTCCAATAATTAACTCTTTTATCTCCACTTTCGCTATTGGTCTTGTACTGTAATACGATTTAAAAAATATAAAATATAATAAGATTGGAAATCTGATATTGTTGCTTTGTCTTTAGAAACAAATGTGTCTGGAGATGATTGCATTAGAACTGGGTCAAAACTGATGGACGGCAGCCATGATGGACTCAAGAAAAGCAGATCATTACAATGTCAAATACTTTCTATATTATGCTGGGGAGTTTGATGGTTTGATATACAAGCTGATCATTACAATGTCAAATACTTTCTATATTATGCTGGGGAGTTTGATGGTTTGATATACAAGCTGATCATTACAATGTCAAATACTTTCTATATTATGCTGGGGAGTTTGATGGTTTGATATACAAGCTGATCATTACAATGTCAAATACTTTCTATATTATGCTGGGGAGTTTGATGGTTTGATATACAAGCTGATCATTACAATGTCAAATACTTTCTATATTATGCTGGGGAGTTTGATGGTTTGATATACAAGGTGATCATTACAATGTCAAATACTTTCTACATTATGCTGGGGAGTTTGATGGTTTGATATACAAGGTGATCATTACAATGTCAAATACTTTCTATATTATGCTGGGGAGTTTGATGGTTTGATATACAAGGTGATCATTACAATGTCAAATACTTTCTATATTATGCTGTGGAGTTTGATGGTTTGATATACAAGGTGATCATTACAATGTCAAATACTTTCTATATTATGCTGGGGAGTTTGATGGTTTGATATACAAGCTGATCATTACAATGTCAAATACTTTCTATATTATGCTGGGGAGTTTGATGGTTTGATATACAAGGTGATCATTACAATGTCAAATACTTTCTATATTATGCTGGGGAGTTTGATGGTTTGATATACAAGGTGATCATTACAATGTCAAATACTTTCTATATTATGCTGGGGAGTTTGATGGTTTGATATACAAGGTGATCATTACAATGTCAAATACTTTCTATATTATGCTGGGGAGTTTGATGGTTTGATACACAAGCTGATCATTACAATGTCAAATACTTTCTATATTATGCTGGGGAGTTTGATGGTTTGATATACAAGCTGATCATTACAATGTCAAATACTTTCTATATTATGCTGGGGAGTTTGATGGTTTGATATACAAGGTGATCATTACAATGTCAAATACTTTCTACATTATGCTGGGGAGTTTGATGGTTTGATATACAAGGTGATCATTACAATGTCAAATACTTTCTATATTATGCTGGGGAGTTTGATGGTTTGATATACAAGCTGATCATTACAATGTCAAATACTTTCTATATTATGCTGGGGAGTTTGATGGTTTGATATACAAGGTGATCATTACAATGTCAAATACTTTCTATATTATGCTGGGGAGTTTGATGGTTTGATATACAAGCTGATCATTACAATGTCAAATACTTTCTATATTATGCTGGGGAGTTTGATGGTTTGATATACAAGGTGATCATTACAATGTCAAATACTTTCTATATTATGCTGGGGAGTTTGATGGTTTGATATACAAGCTGATCATTACAATGTCAAATACTTTCTATATTATGCTGGGGAGTTTGATGGTTTGATATACAAGGTGATCATTACAATGTCAAATACTTTCTATATTATGCTGGGGAGTTTGATGGTTTGATATACAACATGTCAACAGGTAAAGCTAAAATATGATCGCACCTACCTGTCTCGTTCATTTTGATCCGTAGCCATGAAAAGACGTAGTTCCTTTTCCATGTCAACAATAGAGCGTTGACATTGTGATGACAAGTGTCATCATCGCCATCTTGGAGCAGATCTGACCTGCCTTGAGGCACCAACAGAACGCTCCCATTAACTGCCAGATCCTCTGTAACATAAGGTCAATATACAGTAGGGCACTATGTTGTCTCTTCCTAAATATTAGTGAAGGTATCCAACAGATACTAAAGTGACCCAAGCTTTTCGTTATAGTTATTAGAATAGTAGTGAATAATTGATTTTTTTTTTACTTTTTAGTGCATTATTACATAAAAACTTGTTATTTAAACGTTTTTTATTTTTTTTAAATTACAAGCTTTTATTTAATTTGCTTTCTCTGTCGTCAGTCGTCAGTCAGTCTAGATCGAAACGCCCGACCGAAATTACGGGCACTTCTGACATATTCGATTCAAAGTTGGTACGTGGGTCAAAACATGAAGACAATGCAATATGACATTAAATTCTACTTAATTGAAGGCCTAATTAATTTTCCATGATTTTTTAAAATTTCTTTCAATATCCACATAACGAGGTGGGGTGGAGTTCAAAATTCCAACATCCATATCAGCAGTTGGGGTTGATGTCTAAACTTCCAAGGTTAGAATCAATATAAGTAATAACAATATCAATGAAATTATTTATACAATCTGTAAAGTTTAAAACAATTAATGTAATGCACATGTTGAGCAGAGTCATAAGGCGGGTGCGGGGCGGGTATGTGGACCGCAACAAGTTACACTATTTGGGGGAAGGGGTTACACCAGGGTAAAAAGTTTAAAACTAAAATAACCAAGCTTTCTCCGCCTCTAGTTCAATAAGCCGATAATACACTTTCAAAATGCCACATCACGACAAAAGTGTGAAAAAAAACCAAAACGGAAATAGCCTGAAAAAAATATGTTTACTTTAATTTTACTCTTTCACTATCCACTACGCATGTTAACAATCTGAATGTTTATCCTAATATATAAAAGACCATGTGCGCACTTCTCTCTCTCTCTATCTCTCTCTCTCTGTCCAGCCCATGCGAATGGCTATCTTTGTTTCTGTCAATGATCTGATCACTGAGTAACTAATTGATATACCAGCACTTCCTGTGTGGATCACCCGACTAATTCAATGATAATAAGCCTATCTTTTCTTTGCTCCGACTCTAAGAATTTTGAATTTATAAATAGAATAACAAAAGGAATTAACGCTTTATCATTGAGTTTCTCGAGAGAAATACACAAGAGAACGGTAGTTATCATTGACTCTGTCATTGATAATGTCATCGAGTCTTACATAGAAAATAGTGTTTGATCGGCTGCATTTGTTGGCAACGTCTTCAGTATGTTCAGCGATATATGGAGGACTTAAAGGTTCGGACTTTTGTTAAAAATAATATGGCGGATGTTATAAATGTATCAACTAAATATTATTAAAAGAAGAAAAATAAAAATAAAGACATATTTGAATGTAAAAACACATTTCTAACTAAAGTCGTGACAAGAACGCAAAAAAAAAAAACCAATGACGTCACATGACACATGTTTAAACTAAGGAAAGAACACAAAACTAATGGCGTCATCTTCCAATTTTAGAATATAAAGAAATGAACTATTTCATTCAAATTTGATTTAGATCCACTTATCAAGACGTACACTATGTAATATATACAATTTACTTTATCTATTTAAAATCTAGATCTAGATCTAGAGCTACGGAAAAACTAGACTTAAGCCCAGTGACGGATTAAGCGGGGGGGGGGGGCAGAGGGCTGCAGTCAGGGGCCCCCAAATTTCCTTTCCGATCATAATAAATTTCCCTTTAAAGCGAAATTGTTTGTTGTTTTTTTTTTGTTGTTGTTTTTTGGGTTTTTTTTTTAAATTAAAAAAACCCAATGTTTTGATATTTGAATCACAAGCTTAATTCAATTTGTGTTCAAAATATCAAAATTTAGTGTAAATACCAGCTGTCATCATCTCCTACCCATACATTGTTAACATAAAGCCGACGCTCGCTAATATAAATAACCCGGACAGCGTTCGCTTATGACAATAAAATGAGTTGATTTTAGAGTTAAAAACACAAACAGCGGTCGAATTCTGACACATAAGTCTATGATTGACGCCTTTTAAAAAACGCATAGCACTTGAAAGTTATTTAGTCAGATAGCGTCAGATCGTGTAGTAACCAAAATTAAAATAATACAAGTGTTGGGTATATAGTCTAGATTCTGAATTAGGTCTTACTCGCAAGCATCAAGTCAAGCAACATTATTGACCAGCCTTAGCAATCAATGAAAAATGGCCTGACCGTCTTTGCTTACCTACTACACTACTAAGAAAGGTATGAAAGATGCTTTACATTTTTGTTATTAGGAGTGAGGTTTCGGATATTCATTTTTTAAGGTACAGGATATCTAGATCTAGTTATCTTTTATTTTAGGTACAGGCACAGGATATCTAGATCTAGATCTAGTTATTTGGATTAAAACTACCTACATTAATTTCTTAGTTGCCCATTAGGGCCTGGTGAGCATAGGGAATATTAGGTAGAGTTCTCATATTTAGTTGTTCTCAGCAAATGAGACATTCTGATCAGTTCTAGATTTATGCTTAACCTCCTTTAGTAGTTTTAAAAATATGAGATTGATCTGTGTTGGGTGTTCTAGGTACCCATCTGTGTTGGGTGTTCTAGGTACCCATCTGTGTTGGGTGTTCTAAGTACCCATCTGTGTTGGGTGTTCTAAGTACCCATCTGTGTTGGGTGTTCTAGGTACCCATCTGTGTTGAGTGTTCTAGGTACCCATCTGTGTTGGGTGTTCTAGGTACCCATCTGTGTTGGGTGTTCTAGGTACCCATCTGTGTTGGGTGTTCTAGGTACCCATCTGTGTTGGGTGTTCTAGGTACCCATCTGTGTTGGGTGTTCTAGGTACCCATCTGTGTTGGGTGTTCTAGGTACCCATCTGTGTTGGGTGTTCTAGGTACCCATCTGTGTTGGGTGTTCTAGGTACCCATCTGTGTTGAGTGTTCTAGGTACCCATCTGTGTTGAGTGTTCTAGGTACCCATCTGTGTTGGGTGTTCTAGGTACCCATCTGTGTTGGGTGTTCTAGGTACCCATCTGTGTTGAGTGTTCTAGGTACCCATCTGTGTTGGGTGTTCTAGGTACCCATCTGTGTTGGGTGTTCTAAGTACCCATCTGTGTTGGGTGTTCTAGGTACCCATCTGTGTTGGGTGTTCTAGGTACCCATCTGTGTTGAGTGTTCTAGGTACCCATCTGTGTTGGGTGTTCTAGGTACCCATCTGTGTTGGGTGTTCTAGGTACCCATCTGTGTTGGGTGTTCTAAGTACCCATCTGTGTTGGGTGTTCTAGGTACCCATCTGTGTTGGGTGTTCTAGGTACCCATCTGTGTTGGGTGTTCTCCGATTTGAGCCTGGGTTCAGAGCTCAGGACTTTTAGGTCAGCAGACGTGCGTTCTACCATCTATTGTGAACTCGTAACTTTAAATTTAAAAAAAAATAAAAATAGGCCACAAACCATTAGGCCTAATTAATTAGCATGTAATTTCTTTGACGACTAAGATATATTTATCTTAAGAATATAAGAAATCATCAACATATGGAACTAAAACTTTAGACAATTGTGGATACGTGTGGGCGGCGTATGGGTGGAGGTGGGGAGGGCTATGTGGACATCACAATCAATGAATCATACTCTGTATTGTTTATAACATAAACAAAGATGCATTAACAATGTAAGCTTAAAAGCAAATACGGAAGTGCCCGTGTTATTTATACCTAACTCAATGGGCAATTATGTCGCGGCAGATCTATGTAGGCCCTATAATACGGTAACCGACATTTAGGCCTAAATTAGGCCTAGACAGAAATATAAGAAATGAATCTGGGGGAGGGGGGAGTGGGTGGTAGCGTTAAGCCTGGAGAGCGAGGGAGGGGGAGGTTAGGCGCGCGTACGTGGTGGTGTCCCGCATGGTCCCCATGTAGAGAATTATATATAGATATAGATATAGATATAGATATAGATATAGATATAGATGTAGATGTAGATGTAGATGTAGATGTAGATGTAGATGTAGATGTAGATGTAGATGTAGATGTAGATGTAGATGTAGATGTAGATGTAGATGTAGATGTAGATGTAGATGTAGATGTAGATGTAGATGTAGATGTAGATGTAGATGTAGATGTAGATGTAGATGTAGATGTAGATGTAGATGTAGATGTAGATGTAGATGTAGATGTAGATGTAGATGTAGATGTAGATGTAGATGTAGATGTAGATGTAGATGTAGATGTAGATGTAGATGTAGATGTAGATGTAGATGTAGATGTAGATGTAGATGTAGATTTAGATATAGATATAGATATAGATATAGATATAGATATAGATATAGATATAGATATAGATATAGATGTGAGCGGCTGGAGTGTATTTTTATTATTTGTAACTTAGAAGGCGAATGTATCGTTTCGTTTCATGTCGTAAATTGTTCGTATTTTTTTAGTTGTGTAGTCCCGTATTATGGCGCCGCTGTCTCACTGTTTATGTCCCTGGTTATAGCTAGTTTATATATATTTCGTTTATATTGTTGTCATTGTTTATAGTAAGTGTCTTTTTATAATATTCTATTGCATGTTTCGTCGTGTTTGGTTTGTTATCCGTGAATTAGGGACTATTTGTTTACGTGTAGCGTGTGAGGTGTGTGGAAGTCGGGTTCCGGCTTGTTCAACTCTAGCTTTTGTGTGTAAAGCTGCGGTGAAGGGAGCAGGCAGTCTCTCTGGTCATCGGGTGAAAAGAATAGCAAATTCGCACCATCCAGCCATATTTATTTTGTGTTTGTGTTCGTCGTAGTCCTGGACGTAGTCCGAAATTGGGTGTTGTGTTTGATGTAAAAAGTTTGTTTCGTTTGGTTCTGTTTTGTGTCAGTTTATATCTATTCTTTTTTTATAACTTTTGGTTCCATGCAATAAATTTTATTAACTGTAAAAGTTTTTGTTTTATTTTAGTAGCTTATTATTTAGACTAAGGTTAGGGTTCAACCACTGTGGGTTCTACCACGGTTGCACTGACCGGACAGATTAGTTAGTTAAGCCTAGAAGGGTAGATTTTTAGGTATCCCCCCCCTAGCAGGGCTTACAAATTGGTAGCACGAGTGGGGTCAGTGCTTTAGTCTAGTTAAATTTTTGTTTTTTTGCTAGGGCTAGGTGTAGCTTAGTTAAATTTTTTGTTTTTGATAGGCCCTTTTTGGAACCATATGTGTTTAGTTTTTGTTTAATGTAGGGATTGTTTGTAGTCTTAACACCCAATTCGGACGAGATGGCGGAGGTGGCACAAACCATCAGCATCGTTCCACCCAGGGAGATCCTCATCCGGAAGTTTCATGGGGACAGCCACGGCTATGAGGTGGAACGATTCATTGACGAGGTCCAGTCTCTCTGGAGGGCCAGAAGAGACGTCTCAGTGGAAGAGAGGAAGGACCTTCTCTGGCAGTACCTGGGGGAAGCTGTGAGAGAAGAACTGAGCTGCAGGGGAGATGACCTGCAACGTGACCCAGAGGCCTCCATCAGGCTCCTCCGAGAAGTCTATGGGGAGAAGAGGAGCGTCTCCCAGCTAATGGCGCAACTCCAAATGGTTGTGCAGGGCCAACACGAGTCGGTGAGGGCCTACTCGCACCGCCTGCACAGGGCCTTCAAGGCCCTTGTGGCCAGACAGGGCACCCTGCAAGTCCCTCAGACGAATGCTGAGTTCCTAAGGGACCAGTTTATGGAAAAGCTGAGCCAGTCCTCAGTCAGACGTCAGTTGCAAGAACAGAACTAGTTTTCAGGGACCCTAAGATCCCCTTCCTGGCCATACGGGATGCGGCCATTCGATGGTCTGGAGACGAGGACCCAGGGACAGAACCTGCCTATGTGGCAGCTCTACATGCCCGCCCCAAGGAAGAACCCACCCTGCCCAGGTCTAAGCTGGAAGACAGGGTGGACAAGCTCGCAGAGCAGCTATCGGCTCTGTTGACTCAGTTGGCACAGAACCCTCAAGTGTCATCTAGCCGAAGGGTACCCCGCCGACGTCCAGAGGCGGAAACAAGAATGTGTTACAATTGTAACCAGCAAGGTCACCTCGCCCGCAATTGTCGAAACTCAAAGAAGCAGGAGGCCGCAGTGATTCAGAGTCTTACTACTGCTGGTGGGCAGAGCCCAAGCTCCACCATTCACAAGCTGGCTGGACAGTGCCCCACCCTGACTGTGTATTTACAAGGTGTACCGGTGACGGCCGTTATAGACAGTGGTTCACAAGTCAGCACGGTCACTGAAACATTTTGTAACAGGAGCCTCAAGAACATTATCCTGAGAACAGACACACCCCTGTCCTTGAGGGCAGCAAATGGGTTGGCCATCCCATACAATGGCTATTTTATTACTGACCTGGAGATCAACAAGGAAGAAATACGCGACAAGGGGTTCCTTGTGATAAAGGATCCAGTGGGTGGCTCATCAGCTCCACCCTGTTTGTTGGGCATGAATGTTCTCCAGGACCTGACCACATTGGCCCACCTGATCAAGCCCCCAGGGGTGACACCGAAGGTATGGCGAGGGGACAAGGTCCTCTGCCCCCGCGAAAGGACTCTGGTGTCTGCCAAGAGTGTACCAACCATTCAGGCGACGAAAGGAGACCCCGGAATGAAGGACGACAAGGTGGTACAGCCATTAGACCAACCTTTTCACCCAGATCCGTCAGTGGTATCAGGCCCAACATCCTGCCTACGCGCCAGCATAACCAGTGTAAAGGTGGACCAATCTGAGGAACTAGAGGCAATGGTTCCACCTAACCCATCCTTAATTAAGGCACCGGGTGGTGGTGCTGGGGGATGCCCCCAGACAGAGTCGAGCAAGAAGGACAAGCAGGTCAAAAAGGCACCTGTAGCTGAACTGGCCATAGGCGATCTGGTCCTTCTGAGACAACCCCCACTAGGCAGACGCAAAATGACAGACCTGGACGACCCGACAGTTTACGTCGTGGTCGAAGTACCTCCGATCACCGGCGGGTGTTACGCCATTAAAAAGAAAGATGGCCCTTCTGGCACCCGCCGGGTGGCCAGCACCCAGATCAGGAGATATGTGCCTCCCCGGGCTCAACCACCCTCCCCAAGGCCGGTCAAAGTGATACCGCCGGCTACTCCAGGCTACAGCCACATAATTTATAAGGTCCAATTGCCGGGGACCAGAGCAGCCGGTAACCCCACAGTACCTGACATACCTCTGCGTAGGTCGGTCAGGGAGCGCAGAGTCCCTAGTAGGCTAGACTTGTGATTGTGCCCTGTGGGCTGATTTTTTTGACAATGTTTTTTTGTAAAATTTATGATCGTGCCCTGTGGGCTGATTTTTTTGCAAGTTCTTTTGCAAAGTTTTGTTTTTTGTAACATGTATGATTATGCCCTGTGGGCTGATTTTCTGGCAAAGATTGTTTTTTTGTAAAATTTATGATTGTGCCCGGTGGGCTGATTTTTTTTGCAAGTTCTTCCTGCAAAGTTTTTTTGTAACATTTATGATTATGCCCTGTGGGCTGTTTTTTTCAAGTTTGTTAGCTTGCGGTGACCGCAAGCTTTAGGGGGCGTGTATGTGAGCGGCTGGAGTGTATTTTTATTATTTGTAACTTAGAAGGCGAATGTATCGTTTCGTTTCATGTCGTAAATTGTTCGTATTTTTTTAGTTGTGTAGTCCCGTATTATGGCGCCGCTGTCTCACTGTTTATGTCCCTGGTTATAGCTAGTTTATATATATTTCGTTTATATTGTTGTCATTGTTTATAGTAAGTGTCTTTTTATAATATTCTATTGCATGTTTCGTCGTGTTTGGTTTGTTATCCGTGAATTAGGGACTATTTGTTTACGTGTAGCGTGTGAGGTGTGTGGAAGTCGGGTTCCGGCTTGTTGAACTCTAGCTTTTGTGTGTAAAGCTGCGGTGAAGGGAGCAGGCAGTCTCTCTGGTCATCGGGTGAAAAGAATAGCAAATTCGCACCATCCAGCCATATTTATTTTGTGTTTGTGTTCGTCGTAGTCCTGGACGTAGTCCGAAATTGGGTGTTGTGTTTGATGTAAAAAGTTTGTTTCGTTTGGTTCTGTTTTGTGTCAGTTTATATCTATTCTTTTTTTATAACTTTTGGTTCCATGCAATAAATTTTATTAACTGTAAAAGTTTTTGTTTTATTTTAGTAGCTTATTATTTAGACTAAGGTTAGGGTTCAACCACTGTGGGTTCTACCACGGTTGCACTGACCGGACAGATTAGTTAGTTAAGCCTAGAAGGGTAGATTTTTAGGTATCCCCCCCCTAGCAGGGCTTACATAGATATAGATATAGATATAGATATAGATATAGATATAGATATAGATAGATATATAGATCATTTGGTTTTAATTTTTCTAGGTATTGGTAGTCTAAGTTATTTTAAATGTGTAGGATTTTTAAGCTATTTAGTTATTTCTTTGCTTTGTCACTAATATTGTTAAACGTGTAGTAAAGCACATTGCGTTTTGACCCATAACTATTTTATAAAATATTTTTCTCAAACAATTAGTTTAACATTAAAATAAATAGGCCTATAATTCACGCCTAACGGGTACCGACGACTGGTGATATTGTAAAGCTTTAAGAGTTGAACTAGATATTACTCACGTAAAGCCTTAAAATAAGAGTTGACATAGATATTACTCACGTAAAGCCTTAAAATAAGAGTTGACATAGATATTACTCACGAAACTGGCAATTAGCGCCGAACCATCCTGTCTGACATTTATCATTTTCTAGACATGATCCGTTAATGTGACATCTGTCAGTGGCACAGTGACACTTGTACTGACACGATGAGCCGAACCAACCCTCTTGACAGGCTGTTGACACTAAACAAAACATGAGATTAGGTAGGGGAGGGTAGGGAAGGGTAGGGAAGGCTAGGGTTAGGGTTAGGGTTAGGGTTAGGGTTAGGGTTAGGGTTAGGGTTAGGGTTAGGGTTAGGGTTAGGGTTAGGGTTAGGGTTAGGGTAGGGTAGGGTAGGGTAGGGTATGTTAGGGTAGGGTAGGGTATGTTAGGGTAGGGTAGGGTATGTTAGGGTAGGGTAGGGTAGGGTATGGTGTGGTGCGGTACGGTACGGTACGGTATGGAACGGTATGGTATGGTATGGTATGGTATGGTATGGTATGGTATGGTATGGTATGGTATGGTATGGTATGGTATGGTATGGTATGGTATGGTATGGTATGGTATGGCATGGCATGGCATGGCATGGCATGGCATGGCATGGCATGGCATGGCATGGCATGGCATGGTATGGTATGGTATGGTATGGTATGGTATGGTATGGTATGGTATGGGTAGGATAGGATAGGGTAGGGTAGGGTAGGGTAGGGTAGGGTAGGGTAAGTTGGGCAGGGTAAGGTAGGTAGGGTAGGGTAGGGTAGGATAGGATAGGGTAGGGTATGGTAGGGTAGGGTAGGGTAGGGTAGGGTAGGGTAGGGTAGGGTAGGGTAGGGAAGGGTAGGGTAGGGTAGGGTAGGGTAGGGTAGGGTAGGGAAGGGTAGGGTAGGGTAGGGTAGGGTAGGGTAGGGTAGGGTATGGTAAGTTGGGCAGGGTAAGGTAGGTAAGGTAGGGTAGGGTTAGGGTTGTGGTTCGGGTCTAGGGTTAGGGTTGTGGTTCGGGTCTAGGGTTCGTGTTGTTTATTGTGACATAATCTGCAAGTAATGTTCCCTCCGTACTCTTCGTCTGCTTCATTGGCTGTTTCGCATATTGCATGGATTTCATTGCCACAGGATCCACAAGAATGTTCTGCACTACAATATTTTTCACAAACTATACATAATATGTTGGCCACACTATTGTCACGCAACTGGTCTGGACGTTCCGCCACGGCAGTAGATGTGTTAGCTGAGGATGTCGCTGTATTAAGTGAGCGGCTGGAGTGTTGTCATTATTTTTTATATGTAACTTAAAAGGCGAATGTATCGTTTCGTTTCATGTTGTGAAATGTTCGTACTTTTTAGTTGTGTAGTCCCGTATTATGGTGCCGCTGTGTAACTGTTTATGTCCCTGTTTACAGCTAGTTTGTATATATTTTTTTTATATTGTTGTCAATGTTTATCTTAAGTGTCTTTTTGTATAGTTCTGTCGTATGTTTCGTGGCGTGTTGTTTGTTATCTGTGACTATTTGTTTACGTGTAGTGTGTGAGGTGTGTGAAAGTCAGTTTCCGGCGTGGTGTTTGATTCACTTTTGGATGTTGTGCAGATGAAGTGAGGAAGTCAGATCTTGGACCATCCGAGGCATCAAAGTCAGGGAACGCCATCAAACTGTTGCATTTAGTGAATCTAATTCTTGTAAGCCTGGACGGTAGTCTGAAATTGTGTGTTTTGTTCCGTTAAAGTCTGTTTTGTTTAGTCGTGTTTTAAGTTTTGTTTTGTGTATGTAGTTTTTTTATTTTTTATTTTTTACTTTCTCGTATATACGAAGTATAGAGAAAGTATTGTAATCGTGCACAAAAATCACTTGAAATTTTAACAATTTTCACCGTATTACACCTCAGTCCTTCATCACATTCGAAGTATGGAGAACTTATTTTAATCGGGCAAAAATTATCAATCCAGATTTATCAAAATTAAGAGGTTTTATGCGTAATCCAGTCTGAAAAACTGGGCTTTGCAATTCTGTCCGTATGTCTGTGTGTCTGTGTGTGTGTCTGTCTGTCCGTGTGTAAACACGATAACTTGAGTACCGTCATAGCTAGGTTGATGAAATTTCATATATAAGTATTTTATCAAAATCGTAGATCCGTATCAACTTTTGAGCGATTTCCGATAACCGGAAGTGGTACTTTTTCTACTTTGAATTTTTCAAAAGCCTATAACTTGAGTACTATTTCAGATAGATAAATGAAATTTCACATGTAAGTAAAAGATCTAATTCTCTACCTTCTGTTAAATTTTGAGTAATTTCCATTGACCGGAAGTAGTAATTTACGCTACTTCCGATTTCTCAAAAAACTAATGTAAATTTTTAAAGTACTAATAATATTGCGCACTATTATGCACTTTTTTATTTGACGTTCATTTGGTGTGCAATTCTTTTGTCTACGAGATTTTATTCTATTTTTAAAACTTTAAGTATTTAAAATGGATTAAAAATCATGTCTATAGCCTGAGTTCCCATCCCCTGTTGTTTTATATAAGAATATTCGAGAAAGTTTAGGGGAGATCACTCCCGGTTTATTTCATTTTTATTATCGGTTCCATTTGTTTAATAAATTTAATAAATTGTTACAGTTTTTTTTTTGTTTTTATTTAGACTAAGGTTAAGGATAAGATTTTTTATTTAGACTAAGGTTAAGGATAAGATCTTTTATTCAGACTAAGGTTAAGGATAAGATCTTTTATTCAGACTAAGGTTAAGGATAAGATTTTTTTATTTGGACTAAGGTTAAGGATAAGATTTAACCACCGTGGGTTTCACCACGGTTGCACTGACCAGATTAGTTAGATAAGCCTAGAAGGTTAGTAGAATAGTTAGCCCCCCTAGCAGGGCTTACAAATATGGAAACCCCCATTTCTTGTTAATGTTCTCAAGATCTTCCTCAGTAACTAAATTATCGAGAACCTCTCTTGGTAGGTTTGAAGTGTTAAGTGTACAAAAAAAAAAAGGCTTCGTATGGCGATTGTTGGATTCCTTGGTGAAAAGAACGATTTTTCATAAATTGAATAAATTTGAGACTCTTAGCCCAATGAGCTGATTCATTTGTCTGCATCAATGTCATCATCATATTTTGAAAATCTAGGTTGGCACGTTCTTCTGAACCTTGGCTTTGGCTATGCCTTGGTTTTCCCTGAACTAGTTTAATTTCAGGCCACATTTCCTTTAGTTTAGAAATTAATATTGGCAGCCATCTGGTATGTCTGTCTCTTGGTCTTACGGCCCTTTTGGTCCATGTCGCATTGCATATACAAACAATACGTAACTCACAATGTAAGTGCACCTAGAATATTGAAAATGCGATCTCAACTTAGTCTAGATAGGACATTGGCCGCACTTCGGGCTTTGACCGTAATATATATATATATATATATATATATATATATATATATATATATATATATATATATACATGGGTCCATGACAAATAATCTCAGGACAAATGATCAACCTATCTGTAACGGTACTGAATATATCGTGTTCACAGACACACATCCACACACGAACACAGACATACGGACAGAGTTGCGAAACTATGTTTTCCGACTCAAGGAGTGTACGATTACAATACTTCCTTTATACTTCGTATACGAGAAAGTAAAAATGAACGGCCCATAGGGCAGATGTGGTATATTTTGTTTATATATATATATATATATATATATATATATATATATATATATATATATATATATATATATATATATATATATATATATATATATATATATATATATATATATATATATATATATATATCAGTAGCGTACGCAGGGGGGGAGCAGGGGGAGCGGCCGCTCCCCCTCTGGCGATTTTCAGCAAAGTGGCGCCTTTTTTGAAACAATGATATTTGTTAAAAAAAATTTTGGTCGGCACATCTATGTAAATCACAAGATTTCTTTTCATGCAGCAATTAAGCATTATTGTACTAGTTTAGTAGTGTCTACGTTTGCAACACGTAATAACAGCTGCATCAGTTTGCCATTCTAAAAATAACCATTACGATGCATTGCAATTTTAAAAAACCTCTACGGTAGTACCACTTGGCAAGAGGGGTGTTAAGTTTAAGGCAACTGTATAATGTATTTGCTTACGAATAATTGAATTAGAAAATGTTATACATAAAACTTCACACATAATTACTTTATATATACAGTTTGAATCGTGTGATTAATTAAAAAAATTACAATACAGAAACAAGTACAACTGATGTGGCACCTCTATTCAAATTTACTTATGAGCAAACTGCGTAGTGGTGGGGAAATTTTGACGTTATCACGATGAAGTAGTATTCTTACAGTTTGGGCGATAGTGATTACGATTACAAATTATATGAAACTGTTACAACCCCCCTCCCCCATGGACCCCTCTGTAAAAAAAAATATTTTCATAATACCACTGCTACTTATTTAATCTATTTCTGTAATATATATCTGTGTAATATAATATTTTTGTAATATATGTGTATGTTTAGAACAGTCATCTAAAAACTGACGCTATGTTCACTCTGAGTTAGTTATCTCCCCCCCCCTCACCACCACAATCGTGTAGAGCGACATTAATGTCACACCAAGATATAAACTGGGTTGGATAATTGACCTAAAGTGAAACAGACAGTGGTGAATGAAGTTGAACCCCCCCCCCCCCCCCCCCCCCCCCCCACCCCCCAACCCACCCCGAACTGATCTGTTAAGTACATGTAAAAAAAACGGGTAATGATGTACCAAAGTACAGAAAATTAGCTTTTTAAACGTAAAACTCTGTGAATATTGTTTTTGCAATTACCAGTAAAAAGGTGTGTGAGCAATACAGTGATCTAACCCATACCTATCACTATGTTAAAAAATGATCTTTAAGGAACACAAAGAAGCAGTAGTTCATTAAAATAAATGATCTGAACTAAAAGACCAATAATTAGTTAAACGTAGGCTGTTATTCCAAATGTTTTTCTGTTACTTCAAAAAGCGTGGTTTTATACCAACTCTGATTTTAAAACCTTGCATTATGCTGTAATACTTTAGCATTTATGATGACGATATATTTAATTCTGATTATAGACAAAAATATTTTGTAAACACAAATAGTGTTAAACAATTTCATTATAATCTAAAGTAATTATTTATTTGTTTTGACATTTATAATTAAATGTGTAGATATATACATATTTATATTAAGAGAGTGATTATTTCCCCTATTTCGCTTGTCTTAAATAATTTCCCAGGAATTATTATGTAAGAAATTTGTTTCACAAGAATTTCAAAACAGATTTTGTTACGTTCATTGTTTTTGGTTGTAGTGTGTGTAATTTTTTTTTTGTTTAGATTGATACAATTTTTGTTTTGTCGGCCTACATTGTGTGTTTTTTCTTATTTCTTCAGAGAGCTACATTCAATTTATTTTACATCATAGCGAAGTAATGACACACAGCTAGTAATTATATATGCAGGTTATTAAACATCAATTTTGTGTTCGAAAAAAATGTAAAAAAAAATTCTTTATATATATATATATATATATATATATATATATATATATATATATATATATATATATATATATATATATATATATATATATATAAAATACACGTATATAGAACGTGTTAAAAAATTTGGCGCCTTTTTTTGCTCTTTTCGCTCCCCCTACAACGAAAACCTGGATACGCCTCTGATATATATATATATATCGATGGCCTCGGTCGCAAACCGTCTTTACTCTAAAAAAAAAATTCGATTTTCTTTTTTTTTACATATTTCAAAAGCCAGTATGATTCCCTATGCCTGAAAATATAAAAATCTGTAGAATGATTATCGAGATATAATCATTTGAACAAACCTCCTATTATTTCAAGCGCTAAAAATCTCGGCGCAAAACGAATATATTATTAGTACACTTTTGATCGGAAACGCAGTCGCACACCGCAATCACACAATTTTACACCACAGCAGTCACAGTACTTATAGCCGTTATAGGTCAGTAGCGTAGCGGGGGGGGGGGGGACATATGTCACCGGGCGCCGACCTTAGGGGGCGCCAAAATGGGTTGGAAAAATAAAATGAAAGGTTGAGTGGGGTGCAAATCGAAATCTCGAGGGGGTTGGTGCAAATCGAAAGTTTGAGATGGGGGGGGGGGGGGGGGCGTGCAAATCGAAAAGTTTGTCCCCGGGCGCCGGGAAGGGTCGCTACGCCTCTGTTATATGTAAGGATATTTGACTAATTATGTTCAGCTATTCTATTGCATTTTATCATTTTAAAGAATAATAAACAAATAGTATTTGTTTAATATAGCCTATTTCCAGATTTCCAATGACCAAACTGATTTGTTAACAATTTTTAGGCTAACACAATGCTTTGAAACTAGATCTTAATTCTAGAATTTAGAATCTAAATATCAATCAAAACAATATTATTCGAATTATATTTCCACTAGATTGTGCAATAAATTTAATTATTTTTAATTCACTACTAGCTTTAGATTGAGGGTTTATCTACGTGTTAAGAAATGTTTTTATAGTAGGTTACAAAATGTTTGCCGTACATGTACATGGTTAGTTGTCTTTAATAAATGCTTTTATGATTAATTTTTCAACACGCCAGCCTCTCTCAATAGACCAGCCTCTCAACATACCAGCCTCTCTCAACTATATATATATATATATATATGACAACGTAAAAACTTACTAGTACTTTTTAAGCCTTTGATTTAATTTCATAATGCTCTTACATCGAAGCGAAATTTCCGATCTCTCGAATTCGTATTACGCATGGAAATTTTAGATTTGATTTTCTTTTCAACAGGTCAAATGCTAGATACAGTTTGAATTTATAAACATTAGAAAACTACCGGCACAAAGAGATAAGGCTGTCGGCCTTGATTACTTGATTCTCTTTTCAGTCTTGAGATTTCCTCAAGAAAACTGAAGGTAAGAACTAAGAATCAGCTAATAAATCAACTGCGTGCTAATCTATTAACAGTTTAGGGGTCATCCATAAATGACGTCACGCTTTTAAAAACGATTTTTACCCCCCCCCCTCCGTCACACGTCGTCACAAAAAGCCAGACCCCCCCCCCCCTAAAATGACGTCACACCTCAGGCTCAAAATTGCAGTTGAATTTTTTTTAAAACATCGATATTTTTCTAAAATCTTGTCAGAACTCTGTCAAAATAGAGTATTTTAATAAATTCCTATTACAATTTATTAAAACAGTTTTCTAAAACGAGAAATAACGTCTAAAATTCGTTTTCTAACATTGCTTTTTTATAATGCAAAAGTTTGACGTCGCACCATCTGAACCCCCCCCCCCCCCCCACCCCCCTCCCCCTCATCACACACCGTCACAAAATTACGGACCCCCTCCCCCCTATGAGCGTGACGTCATTTATGGACGACCCCTTATCTGCTTCATATCTTAACATTGGATTATATGTTTATTTAATTTATTAACTTGCCAAATATGACCGTAAGGGGAAATAAAAAGGAAAAAGAACATTTACTATTTATAATTTGAAATAACAAGAATAAAAAGAATTGAATTTTAGTTTCTTCAAAGTGTGATAGAATAAGACCAAAGTCCTGTTACCAAACATTTTATCAATAGTCTTATTGTTCAAGTGTTATTTATAGAATTAAAACATTCTACCATTGTATTACTAACCAGGCTATAGGCAGAGGAAATATAATCGGCGGATTGACATTCTTTTGACAATGGAAGCTTTTACGCTTAAATTCCTCTTTTGCCTGCATTAAAATTGTGACAGCTGCTTTATTAGAAGTAAATTAGGCTCGATTAATATAGAACAGTGTATTAGTCTCCAACATACACGTAGTTACACGAGCAGATATATGTGACATGTGCCAAGCAGAGTTTCTTCCAGGCATCTCTTAGGGGGGAGGGCTTCCCCCCCCCCCCCCAAGGAAGAACGACTACCGCCCCCCCCCCCCCGAACGAAATGAAATTTGTATAGAAAATATATACTTTTAACAGTGTCCGCCCCCCCCCCCCCCCCGAAAACTTCAAGTGCCCCCCGGAGAAAAAAGTCTGGAACAAACACTGGTAGCAAGTAAGTTCGGGCTCGAGTTTGTAGGGCGTTTCTGAGGCGTATCGACCCATTCCGGCACCCGAGGCGAACTATCAATGTTGCGCCCTCCTATAAAAACTTTGTTATTTACATTAGCCCCCCCCCCCTCTCCCCGAGTGCAATGCAGGGTATGTCTATAAAGCCAAGTAGCATTTTCTTACATTCGACTGTGCATAATGCAGTAATACTACTCGGAACAAATTTGGCACCCCCTTTAATCGTGGCTCCCAGCGGCTGCCCCACCCGCCCTCCCCTTAGCTAAGTTAGCTACGCCTCTAGATCGACTCTGTCATTTCAAGTCGGGGATAGTAAAGACCACGTTATCCCAATAAATGTTAAGCTCCAATCACGTTATCCCAATAAATGTTAAGCTCCAATCACGTTATCCCAATAAATGTTAAGCTCCAATCACGGTATCCCAATAAATGTTAAGCTCCAATCACGGTATCCCAATATATGCTAAGCTCCCATAAATTGCGCTCTGTTGTAATCACTATCTGGTTTTCATGTCTAGACCTTTGGTATCCTAATATATAATGGCCCATGTGCGCACTTTATGTTAGAGCCTAACCCTAACCCTTTGGTATTATGTTAGAGCCTAACCCTAACCCTTTGGTATTATGTTAGAGCCTAACCCTAACCCTTTGGTATTATGTTAGAGCCTAACCCTAACCCTTTGGTATTATGTTAGAGCCTAACCCTTTGGTATTATGTTAGAGCCTAACCCTTTGGTATTATGTTAGAGCCTAACCCTAACCCTTTGGTATTATGTTAGAGCCTAACCCTAACCCTTTGGTATTATGTTAGAGCCTAACCCTAACCCTTTGGTATTATGTTAGAGCCTAACCCTAACCCTTTGGTATTATGTTAGAGCCTAACCCTAACCCTTTGGTATTATGTTAGAGCCTAACCCTAACCCTTTGGTATTATGTTAGAGCCTAACCCTTTGGTATTATGTTAGAGCCTAACCCTAACCCTTTGGTATTATGTTAGAGCCTAACCCTAACCCTTTGGTATTATGTTAGAGCCTAACCCTAACCCTTTGGTATTATGTTAGAGCCTAACCCTAACCCTTTGGTATTATGTTAGAGCCTAACCCTTTGGTATTATGTTAGAGCCTAACCCTAACCCTTTGGTATTATGTTAGAGCCTAACCCTAACCCTTTGGTATTATGTTAGAGCCTAACCCTAACCCTTTGGTATTATGTTAGAGCCTAACCCTAACCCTTTGGTATTATGTTAGAGCCTAACCCTAACCCTTTGGTATTATGTTAGAGCCTAACCCTAACCCTTTGGTATTATGTTAGAGCCTAACCCTTTGGTATTATGTTAGAGCCTAACCCTTTGGTATTATGTTAGAGCCTAACCCTAACCCTTTGGTATTATGTTAGAGCCTAACCCTAACCCTTTGGTATTATGTTAGAGCCTAACCCTAACCCTTTGGTATTATGTTAGAGCCTAACCCTAACCCTTTGGTATTATGTTAGAGCCTAACCCTAACCCTTTGGTATTATGTTAGAGCCTAACCCTAACCCTTTGGTATTATGTTAGAGCCTAACCCTAACCCTTTGGTATTATGTTAGAGCCTAACCCTAACCCTTTGGTATTATGTTATAGCCGTAGCGGTGTTTGTTCCAACCCTATGGACGCTGCCAGACATAACAGGAATCCGCTTGTGTGTCAGCAGTGGCCTTAACGCACATAGATAGCACAAAGTAGGGCAGTTGGGTGCTCAGTTGCGTGGGGTGGGAGCAATAATATCACTGGAAGAGAGTTGGAACGAATATGTTTATTTGATAGAGCTAAATTATATGGTTTGTATTATGTGGTGTAGCTGACCTACCAATTACTGAAGGGAAACTGGATCGTCTAGATATATAGTAAACATGAACACATATCCTGAGCCAAGTGTTAGATGGTTGTTCTAGTGGTTCAAATCTTATTAGCTACACTTGACTGCATTCGGGAGGTCCAGTTATAACAAAGTGAAATACCTTTGTTAAAATATATCATTAAAACTTGATCTAATTACCTTGACAAAAGCAGAAACACAAGCTCATCACAAAATACACAGGCCGTACACACTCCGCCATTGTCAGTGTTATCCTAGAGTCACGCCCAGCGCTAACCTCTACACTCGCGTAAGTGGCCGCTCACGCTATGGTTTCAAGTGGATTTGAAGGAGCATTGCTCATGTACAAGATCATGGATTTGGATTCAAGCCTAACTGCACATGTATAATGAGCAATATAAGAGCTGACAGATTATGATTAGACCCTAACCACAACACGAACCCTATACCCGAACCACAATCCTAGACCCGAACCACAACCCTAACCCTAAATCCGAACCACAACACGAACCCTCAACCCGAACCACAACACGAACCCTTGACCCGAACCACAACCCTAACCCTAGACCCGAACCACAACACGAACCCTTGACCCGAACCACAACACGAACCCTCAACCCGAACCACAACACTAACCCTTGACCCGAACCACAACCCTAACCCTAAATCCGAACCACAACCCTAGACCCGAACCACAACACGAACCCTTGACCCGAACCACAACCCTAGACCCGAACCACAACACGAACCCTCAACCCGAACCACAACCCGAACCCTTGACCCGAACCACAAGACGAGCCATTTAGTCAGAAATATTAATTCCATCTCGGTCAATTAGAGATTGAGATACTGATAGGATATTGATAAGGGTTTGGGATAGGGCTAGACATGGTGACTGAATATTAAGATGGATAGGATTAGGTATTGTATGCACTCTAATCTTTTGGGAGCTAATTAGTTAACTATTGGGTACCGGTATATCGGTAGAAATCACACACACACACACACACACACACACACACACACACACACACACACACACACACAATCCTTAACCCCCGACGATAGCGCCCCAACTTTTGAAACCCCACATCTGAACGCCCCGTATCTGAACGCCCCGCATCTGAACGCCCCACATTTAAACGCCCCGCATCTGAACGCGGCACATTTAAACGCCCCACATTTAAACGCCCCACATTTAAACGCCCCGCATCTGAACGCGGCACATTTAAACGCCCCGCATCTGAACGCGGCACATTTAAACGCCCCGTATCTGAACGCGGCACATTTAAACGCCCCGCATCTGAACGCGGCACATTTAAACGCCCCGTATCTGAACGCGGCACATTTAAACGCCCCGTATCTGAACGCGGCACATTTAAACGCCCCGTATCTGAACGCGGCACATTTAAACGCCCCGTATCTGAACGCCCCACATCTGAACGCCCCACATCTGAACGCCCCACATCTGAACGCCCCGTATCTGAACGCCCCGTATCTGAACGCCCCACATCTGAACGCCCCGCATCCGAATGATCTACATTTATAATACACGAGCTGACCCGCGGCGTATCATACGCCGCTTTTTAGTTGTTTTATTTTCTGCTTTTCAGTAATTCATAATTTGTGAATTTGACAGTACCAATGTTGCCACTGAAAATATTTGCTTTAAAACATTATCAGTAGGTCGTTAAGGACGATAATCAACCCCTACCATCCTTTCACCCAACCCCCCCCCCCCCCCCCCCCCGTGAAAGCAGCATCCTTTTAGTTACCTCCCCTAAGTTTAAAATAGTTTCAAACTAAATTTTCTGCCCACTAAACCCAGCTCTACGATTGTAAACATTTAGCGTGAACCACAGCTCACCAGACCACGTGGGGGTGGGGGTGGTAGGGATATGCTTAGAGAGGAAGAGAGGGGGCTGCTTACAATTAGTGTTTTCTATGGTATCCATGAAGAGAATAATATATATAGATACTTACGTTAATTACATTGTCTACTAGAATGGATGACGTCATATCTTTGTTTATCACGAACAAATCCTATCTGTACTCTCAAGTGATGCTTTTAAACACGTCAGATTACTAAAAATAGACTATTCCAAGAAAACCATCACAGGAAAACGACAAGCGGACCATACTTGAAATTTGAACTTTATCAAGATTTCATCTTGCAAAGTTTCACTTCCCTTTTAAACGATGAAGTTTATTTTTGTCATCCATTATCTAACTCCAAACTCTAACCCTAGCTTTTAGACTTAAACCAGTGGGGGAATATTCAATGTTATACAGACTAAGATATAGTTGAAAGTAGGGGCCAATTCAGCTTTTGCGTTTGTTACATATTTAACACTCGATATCCTTGCTAGGGTTAGGCTTAGTAACCGAGGCGTATACAGGTTTTCGGGTTAGGGGGAGCGGCGAGTCGAGAAAAAGGCGCCATATATATATATATATATATATATATATATATATATATATATATATATATATATATATATATATATATATATATATATATATATATATATATATATATATATATACTAGCTGTATGACATTGCTTGGATCAGGTGGAAAGCACTTTTAAATATTACTCTGTAAAAACAAAAGCAGCCAAAAACAAGAAACACAACACAATCTCTTTTGTAGTCCATATAAAAATATTGAGATAATGGAATATTAATTAAGACAAGCGAATGATAGTAGGGGAAATAACTACTCTCTATCAGTGGCGTAGCGAGGTCGGGTGTCACCCGGTGCGGCACTTAATGGTGTCACCCCCCCCCCCCCCCAGAGGCATAGAGACCCTTCCCAGGGACAAACTTTCAAATTTTCGATTTGCACCCCCCCTCAAACTTTCGATTTGCACCCCCCCCCCCTCAAGTTTTCGATTTGCACCCCCCCTCAAACTTTCGATTTGCACCCCTCCCTCGAGTTTTTCTCTATATATTTTGCTATTTTTTGCCTTGGTGTCACCCCCCTAAATGGTGTCACCCGGTGCGGTCCGCACCCCCCGCCCCCCCCCCCCCCTCGCTACGCCCCTGCTCTCTATATATGGATAAGTATAGTTCTACACATTTATTTGCAAATGTCGCATTACTGTAATATTTAACATATAGCTTATTGCTATTCGTTTTTACAAAAAATAAAATTTACAATAGAATTAGATCTAAATATATTTTCATCTTAAATGCTTAAACATCACAGCAAAAAGAAAGTTAATGAAAGCGGAGTTAGTACAAAACCGCCCTTTTGAACAGTGTGGAAAACTAAATCTAATAGGTGTAACATTCTGAATAATAGTAATAGACACACATTATATTTAATGTCAACTAAATTGTTGGTCTTGCATTTCTCATCTTTACATTATTTGAAGTAGCTACAGCTTTTTGTGTTCTGTAAAGATTAATTGTTAACATAATAATATTCTTAGTTATTCTTAATTTGAAGTTTGCTTATTCATCTTTCGGAAGCAGTTTTACTCTTATCCACAGTGTTTTTCTATTGTTTTAACTAAATTTACCCGAGGTATTTTAACCATATGTTCGTTTAGTACATCTGTACGTGCTGATCATCTTGATTAATGTTCTTGACCTGGTGTGAGAATGTGCTGACAAGCAAGCGACCTGCATATTCCCTTCCTGCTAGCAGGCCTATTTACATATTTAAAAAATAAGCAAAATCGTATTCTACGGGGCACACTTTAGGTAAACAATTACACAGCGTTCCTAGACTGATTTAAAAAGCCAAAGTTATAGAAGATAGATGGCTGAATTGAGTCTGATAACTCAAGCAGAGACAACTTTTGTGAATTTAGATCGATCTCTAGGTGGTTGTCGGACTATATCCACCCGGAATAATACAAACTATAGATGTACATGCGCTACAATAGACAACACCCGGAATAATACAAACTATAGATGTACATGCGCTACAATAGACAACACCCGGAATAATACAAACTATAGATGTACATGCGCTACAATAGACAGACTTTGTGACAAAAAAAGCGCCTCGCACATGTCTGACGCTGGTAAGTAACCCAAGAAATAAGTTATTAAAAATGTGATATTTAGGGTACCGCTTTTAATTCGTAGTTTCAGTATTAAATGTGTTTGCTGTTTCTGCTGTCGTTGGTTTTATTTTGTGTGTTGCGGAATTTGTTTTAAATTTTATTTCATTATTCTCCGAAAAATGCGCCATAATCCTTAAAATGGTCGTAGGAGGGAGGTGTCGCTCCCCCTGCTCCTCCCAGCATACGTTACTGGTTAGTAATTAATCCATCCAGCATGGGGGGATTAGGGTTAGGGTTAGGGTTAGGATTAGTGTTAGTAATTAATCCATCAAGCATGGGGGGATTAGGGTTAGGATTAGTGTTAGGGTTAGTGTTAGTGTTAGTAATTAATCCATCAAGCATGGGAGGATTAGGGTTAGGGTTAGTGTTAGTAATTAATCCATCAAGCATGGGGGGATTAGGGTTAGGATTAGTGTTAGGGTTAGTGTTAGTGTTAGTAATTAATCCATCAAGCATGGGAGGATTAGGGTTAGGGTTAGTGTTAGTAATTAATCCATCAATCATGGGGGATTAGGGTTAGGGTTAGTGTTAGTGTTAGTAATTAATCCATCAAGCATGGGAGGATTAGGGTTAGGGTTAGTGTTAGTAATTAATCCATCAATCATGGGGGATTAGGGTTAGTGTTAGGGTTAGTGTTAGGGTTAGTAATTAATCCATCAAGCATGGGAGGATTAGGGTTAGGGTTAGTGTTAGTAATTAATCCATCAAGCATGGGGGGATTAGGGTTAGGATTAGTGTTAGGTTTAGTGTTAGGTTTAGTAATTAATCTATCAAGCATGGGAGATTAGGGTTAGGGTTAGTGTTAGGGTTGGTAATTAATCTATCAAGCATGGGGGGTTAGAGTTAGGGTTAGGGTTAGTGTTAGGGTTAGTAATTAATCTATCAAGCATGGGGGATTATGGTTAGTGTTAGGAATTAATCCATTAAGCACGGTGGATTAGGGTTAGGATTAGTGTTAGGAATTAATTCATCAAGCACGGGGGATTACAGACCCTGCGGAAATAAATGTGGTAGTGTACAATGAGAGCTAATTTTGAGCTATTTTACCCTTAAAATGACATTTTTTAGAAAATATTTTCACAAAACCATAACTTTTTAGTGATTTTTTTGCTTTATTGTCACGTAAGCCTACTATGTTAGTTACTGTAATAGATTGAGATAATTGTATTGGTATTATATTTATATTGTTATCTTGAGTGATGTCCCTTACATGTTG